ACACACACACACACACACACACACACACACACACACACACACACACACACACACAGAGACACACACCGGAGCAGCCCAGTAGCAACTTTCTCAGAGTAGGTTCGCAGACCACTATGAGAAACACTGCTGTAGTTATATATGTAGGATTGCCAGGTGTCCAGTTTTGAACAGGACAGTCCAGTATTTGAGCTTTCTGTTCAGGAAACAAATTGAGCAAATATAAATGTCTGGTATTTTCTAAATAAGATGTAATGTAGATTGTGATGTCATGTCAAGTGTGTCCAGTACTTTTGTTGAAGCCATCTGGCAACCCTATATATATCTGTGTGTATCTAAAGGAAAAAAAATTAGCGGTAAAGCATTATTTATACATAGATCTCTGTAGTGCTTTTCTCTGTTCAGTGCTCAACTTACTCTTTTTGCAAGAGCGATCCGATCGATCGATAGATAGATGTCAGAGGTGACTGGCTGGGGTGACCCGGAGAGCCATCCGTTCATTACGTGACCCACTCCCCCAGCCCAGGAGAAGGCCTAGACAACCCCCTTCCATCTCCAGGTCCTGTCTCTCCCCACCCCTGTTCTGCCCCTAATCAAGGTGGCCCAGAGAACCACTAGGACAAGTGCCAGCAGCAGCAGAGGGAAGCTGAGCAACATGGTCACAGCTGTTTTGTTTCCTCATGCCCCCTCCCGTGCAGCGGCGTGGTCAGGAGAGCAAAGTAGCTGGGGCTACCTTGCTCCACTTCCTCCGGGGGCTGCCAGTAAATGTGGTGGGAGTGGGGGGGAGCATGACCCCACCTGTGGGAGTCAGACCCCCCTTCCCTCCCAGCACTAATTCCCTTGCCAGCTGTTGACCATCCCCTCCTGCGCACGGTATATGGGGGCATGCCACCCCACGTCACCCCCTGAATTTTTTTTGGGTCCAATGGATAGCACCTAATCCAGCAAGTGCATGAAAAAAACCTGAAGGTATGTAAAAAAAGTTTTAGAAAATATAAGGGGTGCCACTTTCTGACCAGTTGCACTGCAAATGGGAAGCAAGTTGGCTGTGTTGAGGAACCTCTTATACCCTGAAAGAATAGTGGAGTTGTCAATATTTCTTAAGTCTGCACTAAAAAAATATCCAAACATATTGCATTAATATGCAAAAACTCAGATAACAGAAAGATCCTTAGTTCTTTAAGTTCATTACCATATTTACTGTAGTAGATAAATGCAAAACCATTATCTCTATAACATTACTAATAAAATTTAGTGAAACTGAAGTTAAATAATTACCTGGAAGTCATCATAAGGGAAAAGTAGCATCTCACGTAACGCATCATTTAAAATTTGTGTTTTCTTTTGAACAATGACATTTTCATAGTCTATTGGCTCAATTAGTTTTGGTTTTGCCTAGAAAAATGAATAGAAAAGACATTTTTAAGTACATTGCAAAAAAACTACAATCGTGTACTCATTGATCAGTCTAAAATTGCTTTATAAAAAGCTACTTCACACACAGCTGATTTCAGCTATTATTATACACATTTGCAGCATTCAAAAATAGAAATTTATTTTAAAATTCACCTTACACAATACAGTTCAACTGTAATGACTTACAGCCATACATAAACATGCTGATTTGTGTAAGAAATAAGACACAAAAGAAAAGTAAGGGAGGACAAACTGGAGATTAAGGAAATACACATTGTGGCAAAACTCATTTAAGATAAGTTTTCATTGAAGAGATCACCTGGGCTTTTACCCAGATGTTGCCCCTAACCTATCTTCCCATCACATACAAAAACTTCATACCTGGATTTGGTTGTGCTTTAAACCTGATCTAGATGGCACCTCTGGTTGGTATAGGACTGAGCGTGGATTGTGCTTTAACCTATCTGCTTTGTAATGTAGACACAGTCTAATCAGCCTGGATGGCAAGGTTCCTTCAATGTCATCCCACATACACCGATGTCTCTCTTCTGCACTAGAAGACTCTTTCTGGTTTACATGCAGCAGTTCAGCATTTAAACCCTACATTACATGAGACCTGCTACTGAACTTTAACAGTACTTGATCAGTAATGCAATCTGAGAATTCATCCTCCCAGTGCAAGGTTAGATGACCAGATGACGACTCCTCCAAGGTTTTGATGGGCCTCTGAATAAGGTAAGCTACAGCTCAAAAGCTGAACATATTTACCTGAAATCAAACCATCAGCGAATCCTTGGATGGATTATGTAATGAATTTGCTACCTAGGAACACTTCCACACTTCCCATAAACAGCAACAATGTTCTCCTACATACACTCATAAAAATTCATAGAGCAACCCAGTTCAGAACTCTGTAAAGAGACCGGGGATATCCCATCAGAAGTCCTAACATTTTGCATGGATAAGTAAAGCATCAGTATGGTCACAGAAAGACAGATATGGCACAAGTAGGAGTTTGCAGTAGGGATGTGATATCCCGGCATCAATCACCCAGATTAATGTTGCAGTGAAGACATCCCTTTAGATTAGAATCACCTGTAACTTTAGGGAGACACATGCAGTTTTTGCCAATTTCACAGGTTTGATTACAGCTAAAGCCACTCTGCATAGTAATATTACAATATATCTATTATAGAGAATCTACCATGAGAGTTTTGTTTTAGAAAGAAAGTTAGTATTAAACATGACCATTAAGTGTTTATAATTGCAGGCTTGCCCATATGGAGAAACTGACTAGTACACTTATAGCAAAATACCCATTCTGCTATAAATATACTCACAAGACACATATCCTCAGCCCATGTGGACACTACACTAGAATAAACTAACTTTTACTCCAGAATAGAGCATTCATGCAAGAGTTTTATGCCCATATAGATAACTATAGCTATTCCAATCAATTTCCAAATGTAGTCAAATGATTATCGCTGAACATGAAGGTAGCTAATCTGTTCATCAATCATAGCAATAGTTATCTTAAAGGTAATAAGTTGATGTTTATTTTTTCTTTCAAAAATTAAGCAGTTTAGTCAAATTTTGACAATAGATCCCTGGAGGGCTTTAATCAGGAAAGGTTACCAACATTCACATACTTAGATTATAAATTACTTAGAAGTTACTCCAGATAGTCTAATATATATCACATGGTAACATTTCTTGTAAGTGAATATTGGAGGGAGTTCAAAAGGACAGCAAAATGATAAATTTGGAAAATAAGACTCCTCAGGAGAGATTACATGAATTGGGTATGCTTAGTCAACAGAAAAAGAAAAAACAACTATTTAAAACACATTGGAAGGATGATACAGAAAGAAAAAGATAATTATCATTTGTTATTTGTATAGCACAGCATGCTCTAGTTCAACAAGACCAGAATAGTAAAGGAATGCACATGCAAAGGGATGTGTTCATTAAAAATTAGGAAAACATTTTAACTATTACATATGATAACTTAGGTTATAAAGTAGGGGTGGGTAGCCCTCAGTTTGCCTGGATCCGGCCTCCAAAGCTCAGGGCACCCTCATCATTGGGGAGCCAATGCTGGCAACTGTGGAAAGTCATTACCCCATCCTACCCAAAGAGAGGACGGGGTGCACTTGTCCCATGACAATAACTAACCTTAAGTTTGGCATTTCCAAATTTTCAGTCTTTGACTTTGCAACTTAAATAGTGTTCTTTTAATGTAATGAAATTTCCTAGGTGTGTTTTAAACTTATTTTCTCTTAAAACAAGCATACACTCACCAATATATATGATCAGACAGATTTGAAACATGAACTTTCATAACCACAGCACACTTGATTGCTACCACTGAGCTATGCTAGTTAGCAGCAACAGAATGCAAAACTAAATTCTTCAGTGTTTCCAGCTTCTATTTGCCAAAAGAGGGAAACTGATGCTGGGGTGGATTAATTGCCGATTACCTGTTCTGTTCATTCCCTAGGTCTGTTGAGTGGTGCACCTAGCCCAGGTAGACTATCTTCTGACTGTGGCCAATGCAAGGTGCACCACTGGTCAGACCTAGGGTTGCCAGATGGTTTCCCCAAAAATACCACACTATGCTTAACACTGAATGGGAACTTTATTATAAACAATCAATGGTCTATATCATATATTTTGACTACATGAACCTCTCCCCATCTCCCCAGCCACTCCTCCCCCGCCTCCGACAGGCTTCCACATGCAACCAACTGAGAGCTTGCAGCACCAGCTGCTCCCCGGCCTCCCCAGCCACTCCCCCCGCCCAGCTTCTGCAAGCAGCCAGCTGAGGGCTACCAGTGAGCGCCTCCCAGCGCTGATTACAGACACGCCTCCCCAGCCACTTCCACCTCCCCCGCCAAGCTTCCACACTCAACCAGCTAAGCTGAGGGCTCCCAGCACAGATTGCGGCCCCACTTCCATAGACATTCTCCCCCACTCCTGCCAGGCTAAATAGGGCACCCAGCCAGAAAAGCAGAAAATACTGGACACTTCACATATCCGGTATTTTCTGCATTTTTTTTATTGGACAGAGGGTGGAAAAAATGGACTGTCCGGTTGAATACCAGACACCTGGCAACCCTAGTCAGACCCAAAATGGCTATTACATTCTTATATTAATGGCAACATTCCTACTTCCTATACAGAACTGGGGGGAGGGGGAGCTTTCCTGCCCTGCATCATGCTTCTAGGGGGTGGGAATAAGTGCTTCTTTCTTATACAAGCAAGACAAGGGAATCAAGAGAAGGGAATGCACCATTTTATAACAATTTCTTTCTCAGCAAAAACTGAATGAAATCTCAAGGTATGAAGAAAAACAAATCACTTCTCTAGCTAAGGAATTTCCCTTGCTGATATCAAAACTTGCTGAAAAATAGCAGACATGTGAGAATATCCCAGAGAAAAGAACAAAACTAGTTTTACAATGTGAAGTGTTGGGGGAAACTACATACAAAACCAGGGCCCCTATAATAAGAACAATTCAACAATGGGAGAAGAGAACAGAGTACAATTACTTCCAATAGAAATATTCAAGAATGGACTATACATCTAAAGAAATTTCAAGAAAGGATTATACACCCATCTATTACAGATTTCTTAGAAATAATAAAACAAATCCTCATAAGTAAATGGGTGAGTTACATTAGTCAGCATTTCCCTTCATGTTCCAATTATTTCATTAATACTTCTATACAAAAAAAGTTTAGATAAAAACAATTATTTGCTAGTTTTTTGGTTCTAAGTACATTGATGGAACAGACATTAGAAAGTATTATAAATGTCTTCTCATAAGAGAGGAATCCTATATTCTAGAGCAAGGGTGGGGAACCCAAGGCCCAGGAGCCGGGTGCAGTCCTCGCCTTTTCTGGATCCGGTCCCCATGGTTAAGGACTCCCCCTCAGAATTGGGGAGCCCGCACTGGCACTCCAGGCCCACCCCTCCGCTGTTTCTTTGTGGGGCTGGAGCACACAATCTACTAGCCTGGGCCCACCTAGGCTCGCGTGTGCAAGGGGAACGTGGGGAGTGTCTTTCTCCTTCTCGGTGGGGGGCTACATCAGTGAGGATTTGTTGTTTGTTTTGGTTTTTGAATCTCACCTGTGTGCAGCCCCCAACTGATTTTTCTGTGGGTCAGCAGCCCCCCGACCCAAAAAAAGTTCCCCACCCCTGTTCTAGAGCATGACTGGTGGGTTAAAAACGCCCACAAAGGCCACAGAAGAAGCTGAAGCTCAGAATTTTGATGCTCAAACTGCTCCCATACTTAGCACCTGGGAGCTATATCTCAGAGCTTCAACTTTAAAAAGCTGCATACAGGGGAGATATTTCTTAACTAGAAGATTACTGATATGAGATGACATTTGTGTTAACTTTAAATCTTCCAATCTGTCTCACAAAAGGAATTCTCTCATCAGGAAACTCAAAGAAGTAAAAAGCAGTCCACTTGGATAAAAAAAGCAAACATTTACCTTACGTGTACAGTCACCTGAAGCAGCTGAAAAGACAGTTCTTCATACCTTCTTTGAGATCTGTTGCCTATGCCCATTTAGTATTTGAGGTGCATGCTTGCCACATGCACCAGTGTCACAAGTCTTTCCCCTAGCAGCATCCATAGGTGAGCAGCTCTGGCAACCCCTGGAATTGCATTGCCATGGCTCGGAATAAGGGGTGTTGCATGCTCCTCCCACCCTCAGTTCCTTCTTGCCAGGAACTCCAACAGTAGTGAAGGAGGATGGATTGTGGAATGGACAAGAGCCACACACCTTGAAGATCTGTCTTTCTTCTCGGAATGATTGCTCATTTTCATTCTACTATGGGTGACTCCAAGCAGTACCCACAGAGGTGGATAAGAGTTTGTCTCAGACTGGAGTTCTACCCTGCTGCATGACGGGATAATGGGCCATGAATGTGTGGACCAAAGACCACATCACAATTCCACAGATGTT